TTTACCGAAGATGGGAAATTGGATAAATAAATTAACATTAGATGCAGTAAAGCAAACCAAGTATTGGGACAGCTAGCTCCCCTCTTACAGCATAAGACAATTTCAATCAGCACAAAGAGACATCTTATTCAAAGCATATTTATTCCAACTCTGTGCTACCAGTGCCAGTCATGGTCACTCACAACAAACCATAAAAGAAAATTAGTAACCATGGAAATTAGATGTATGAGAAGGGCTGTAGGAGTGATCATAAGAGATAAGATCAGGAATGAGATCATAAGAGAAAAAGTCGGCACAGAACCAATTCTAAATTACATACAAAGACAGCAAGTGAAATGGTTTGCCCACTTAGAGAGAATGCCTTGTGACACCATACCATACAAAGCATTCATGGAAAGAGAAGAAGGTCGTAAAGCAAAAGGTAGACCAAGAACAATATGGAAGGATAACATCAGAGAAACTCTACAACAGCACGATGTGCCTATGGTCGAAGCGGCCAGAAGAGCCAGAAACAGAACCTTATATCTCCCACGACACCCACAGCGGTAAAAGAGGAAGTGAAGAAGAAGAAGAAGAGACAATGTTTCCATGGTAGAGGAAGCAAGAAATAATCCTTACATCTCCACCGAAACTCGGAGGAAGTGAAAGAGACAACGAAGATAAAGAGGTCACAATCTCATCTACGGTGCGACTCTCGTTGCTCTTACCACTCTAGGAAAGCTATAAGCGGAAGTTGAAGAGCTCTCCAACAAACAAAGTGCTGCTTTTCCTTACCGGAAGAAAAAACACCTCAGAGCTGGAGAGCTAGTAGATTGCCAACACAACATTATTAGTAATTACTATTACTGATTACATACATAACAGTAATAATAGTATTAATTATGGGTGCACGAAGTAAGTCACTAAACAGTAACATTGCTTCTCTGTTGCATATTAAGTAAAATAACGCTTTTAATTGGACTAGTTTTTGTCTGAACTCAATTGAATTAACGACAGTGCTTTTCTTTTATTTACTATTTACTCTTTCAAGTCTTTCTTTGTTGTTGTTACTGTTCAGTTTGTTGTTTTGTCTGATGTCTCACGTTTTCGTCTGTGTCTAGTGTCTCATCTTTTTATTTTACAAACATTGTCAACATCTCAATTATTCTCAGCGAGTAACTGAGAAATTACTGGTTACTGAGAAGTTACTTGTAAATTAAACAGACAGATGACATGTGCGCAACAGAGTTAGCTGCAATTGATTTCAGTGTCGATCAGTCTCCAAGAGTATAACTATAACTTATACTAATTATAAGTATAGTATAAATTATATTATAAGTATACAATGAGGGCAAGAGAAGAAGACACATAAATTATGGGATCTATTCACGTTTCCAGGCCCAGGATTATAGTAACTCACCTTGTCATTCATTCATGCCTCTTTGGGTCGGTGGACGTCTCCTATGTTGCGGGAGTGTTATGAGATATGGCTTGGTTTGTCGTATGTAATGTTTGTGGGAGGTTGTGCCGTTGTATGCTGCAGGCACCTGTGTACAAGTAACAAGTACTGAAGGGGGAAGTGACGATTCATGGCTATCGAAGCTGTGATGTTTTTGTATTTCTACATTCATTGGCGATGGCATCCCCCTGAGAAAAATAAAGCAGTAACAAGGAGTAAAGAAAAATATAGCTGTTTCCATACTATCAAACTGTGGTACAGGTAGCAAAACATGAAAATAATCACACAAGCGAACAGTGAGAGGACAAGAAAAAAGGCAACGATTACACTGTTCACAATAAGGGAAACATTACTTTTCCCGCAACATAGGAGAGGTCCAACGATGTAAGGAGGCATGAATGGCAAGGGAGGTTACTCTAATCCTGGGCCTGGAAACATGAACAGCCCCGAATTATGATTATAGAGATTCATTGCAGCCCACCTTACCTTTATTCCTGAGACAGCACCCAACTGATTGACTGTGGCATTGTCTTTACCTTGTATTTGTGCATGCAGGTTAAGTTTAGAATTAGCATCAGCACTTGGGGCTTTCCCATTCGTGCTCCATCTCCTAATGCTTAACAGAGTTCTAGTACCAGCGGTCACAGTTTATAAATTATGTATCTGCCTTTCCTTTCCTTTTGAGTTAGCCAGATTTTAAGGTCACTATCCATTGCTTAATTCTCCCCAAACAAATTTCCATGTTGTGGACATGCTCCCAAAGGACCTGGATGATATCTGCCTCATCACTTTTCTTCCTTCTCCTCCATCTTTTGTATCCACCCTTAAAATAGTATTTGATACATTGTATTATGGTTTACAGCCAGGCTGTGATATCTCCAGCTTTAGGCCCAACACATCTGATTTTAGCCTAATTAGTGACCTGTTATGAAATGCAGAATTAAAGGCATTTGTCTGTTCTCCTCTGCTCATTTACCCCGCCCCCCACCAAAAAAAAAAAAAAAAAAAAAAAAAAAACCCCAGAACCACACCCGGATGTCATGTATCCATTAAACCACCAGTGATGTTTTTTTGTTTTTTTAATTTGAGAAAAAAAATGAAACCCCCTTTTTTTCTGCAGATATTTGAAGATCACAAACATCTCTGAGGCTTGGAAAACCTGCAAAAGCAGGAATGTTGGAGAGATTCACTATATAGAATTACACAGAGCAGATTGTTTAAATATTCTGCCATAAGGGTAAGTAATGTGTGGCACTGACTGACTGACTTTCTACCCCACTAGGACATCACACAAGCGATAAACACCGGATGACACAATGTGCCACCATGCGGGTGAGGATCACTGTGGAGAGGTCTCAAAAACTGCGTTCAGCCTTTAGGCCATATTTATGGCCAGGCTATATTGCGGCCCCTGGCAAGAGCCAGATTAGGGCTTCAAAAAACGAAAAATTTCATCCTAAAAAGGACAAAAAGTGTAAATCATGTGTAGCACACCTTCGAATGGTGACCCTAGGAATTGTAATCTATTGTAGGTTGACATTACTTCAACTACTGAACCTAGGGGATGTAATCCATTATTTCTGTAACGTCACATAATAACATTCATAATAGTTTAATAATTAATACATCTTAATATTTTTTGAGATTAGGGTTAGGGTTAAAGCTAACCCTAACCCCAAGCAAAAATAAACTTTTCAGAACATCATTACGTGAATGTACACAAACGATGTCTCCCTTACAATTGCCGTAAACAGACAGTATATTGCGTCCCCCTAGGGTCACCATTCCAATGAGTGCCTTACATCTTTCTGCCTGCATTATAAGTTTTCTCTGTATTCTGTCAACATTATAAGTTGCTTCTGTACTCAGCCAGTAGCGGTCTGATTATTTGTCCGTTGCACCTTTCCTCTGAGTGTAGAATGTCGATAAGATCCCCTGGTCACTCCTAGTTGTACCTTTTTTCTCAGCAGACCAAAATAATCTCTTCATGCCTCTTTCTTGCTTCCAAAGGGCCTTGACCACATCTAGCTAGTCATACATAAATTCATCACCAGTGTTTGAAGAACCAGCCAGTCTGTCCACTGTTCATTTCCCAACACTCATGCATACTCCGGAGAAGATATCTAAAGAATGCTAACCACCGAGGATGGCATGTCATTTGCAAACAGTATTGAATTTTTTCAGTGCCAGGGGACTCCCTATACATTGAATGATAACCCTGTATTGCGATTATTTAAATCACAGGTATGAGTGTTCAGAAATCCCCCGGCTTTTATCAGCCCACCCCAATGCATGGGTGATAATGTCCAACGAAAGCTCCTGTGGAACATGAGTCCACTGGCCGAAGATCCTACTAAAGTGACAAATCTTGGTTGAAACGTCCGTCAAGAGAAAGTCCTACTGAATTGCTGATTAGGCTCACTTGTCCAATAGTCACATGTCTTATGGCACAACAATATACCTTATGTTCCTTAAAAAGTATGTAGTAAAAAAAAAAAAACGACTAATCAAAGATTGACCGAAATTGGAAAGTGTTGGGCTTAAAGGTGCAGACCTTGTAGCGTAGCTGCAAAAAGCAAGACAGCATGCCAGCCACCATTTTTAAGGCAGATACAACAGAAGAAGAAGGAGAAAACAAAGAAAGAGAAGAAGAAAATTAAAAAGAAGAAGAAAGTCCGTACTGCAGAACTGATTTGACTTTAGAGTTGAATATTCTAAATTTGGTACTAGTTTTAATTTCTGACAACTTCCATGTCTTCTTCTTCTTCGTGTTCACCGGCTGTGAACTCTGGCGGAAAGTTCTGGTTGTTCGTCCACTTCTGGACTGAAGTCTTGTTCCAGAACCTGAGTGTTGTGTGTGCATCCGTTTAACAGATCTGTATGCAGACTGTTGGTTCCTTGCCTCTCAGGCAGATGCACTCCGACTTTGAAGGAAGCTCCCAATTAGTCGACTCTTACGACATGCTTTTGGGTAGTCAGTGGGTCTATTGTTTTTCCCATACTAGGGTCCCGGAACCCACACGGGGGACAAAAAATGCATGTTTTCTGAGGCTAGTTCCTCTTGCTTGTTTATTGTTGTAAAAATCTTCTTCTTTTTTTTCTTCTTCTTCTTCTTTTTCTTCTTCTTCTTCTTCTTCTTCTTTGTGTTTTGTAAACTCCAGAAGAAAGTTTTGGTTGTTTGTCCACTTCTGGACTTTGCTTTGATCTTGTTCCATAACTTGAGTTTTACAGATCTGAACAATTTGTATGCAGACTGTTGGTTCCTCACCTCTCAGGCAGATGCACTCCAACTTTGAAGGAAACTGCCCTAATTAGTTGACTTTTATGACATGCTCATCGGGGGCAGGGGTGTCTATTCCCCCCCCCCCCACCCACCCTCCTCCACAATTGTGCCCTGGACCCACGAGTAGAACTGGGTACTGTTTTGCCTTTAGAGTTGAATATTTTAAGTTTGGTTCTAGTTCTAATTTCTGACAACTTCTACATATTTTATAATGCTAGTTCCTCTTGCTTTTTTGTGTTCTTATAGAAATTAAACGATAAAACTGGATTTGTTTTGCAGATGTACACCCTCCTGTCTGGATTCTATCGCTACATGTGCCAGCGCGACCAGTATTTTGTTTTAATCTTGGGCTTGGACAATGCTGGAAAAACGGTGAGACCTAGTATTATCTGGCTGTGAACCCTGGAGAGTTGCACATCATCATCATCAGTATCCACTTCTGCCAATTAAGTATCATAAGGAGGAACAATTTTGGTATCATTGCTTGATGGGCAGCAGTGGCTGTTGTCATTCTGTGAGGACGTGGAAGCTTTTTAATGTCATCAGTCCATGTTTTCCTTAGGCAACCTCTTGATTTCACATCATTTCTTTTTATGTGTAGCGCCTTCATTGGTAGTTGTTCTGACTGCATTCTTACTAGATGACCAAACCATTTCATCTTCTGTTTCTCAATGAATTTGCTACACAGTGTTATTCCTAGTCTGTTTGAAAATATCATTTCTAAGTGTCTCTACAGCTTTTTTCAGGCATCTCATTTCACCTGTGTTAATTTTACGTAGGTTAATTAGCCTTTGATAATGTCCACGTCTGGTGCTGGTAGCACAGTGTTGGTATGGGTGGAGGGGAATTACTAATAAGTAACCCACCCCCCACCCCCTCCAAAAAATAATTTTTTCTGGTATTTAATGCTTGAACAGGACTTGAACCGTTAGTGAATGTTAACAGTTTCACAATTCTCACCTACTAGGGCTCAATATTTTGCAGCAAACAGATTATTTAAACACCATTCTCATGGTGTTTCTGAGGACCGTATAAGGGTCGCATGGTGGAAGAAAGGGGACCTTACCATGGAATGTTCCCAAAGTCAGCAGTGAGTACACTGTTAGCCATCCTTTATTTTGGAGATGGCACACAGTGTTTTCTTAGGGCAGTGTAGGACGGGGTCTTGAGCCATAGGATTTAGAACTGCATTCAGGTTACTTTGTAACCGTTATGTGGTAACCCAGTATAACTGTGCTATATGGTTAAACAGAGTTGCCAAAATTTGTAACTGATTCTCATCGAGGTGTTAATCCTGCAAAATGCAAAATTTGAAATAAAAACAAAATTAACAAAAAACAAAATGGGACCGCACTGTGCGGTTTTTGAATTTTGTTGTTGTTGTTGCACTCAGCCCCCACCCACCACCAGAATCCATTGCTTTATGGAGGATGTGAACCCTATGAGAGACCAGCATTACAACCTGTCCTTAAACTCCCTCCCATAATACCAAATGTTCCACTTAAACCTTACAACGACTGCCCCGCTTTGCTTAGGGATAGCTTACCAACAGTCAGAACCACTGTAACAGGAGTCTCCTCCAAATCATCAATGAGCAGCACTGATATGAAGTCAACTACAGAAGGAGAGATCAACAGACATTATCCACACCAAAGTTGGATTTGAGTGTATACAGATGGTTCAGCCAAGAGAACAGCAGTAAGAGAAGGAGGAGGAGGAATATACATAGAATGCCCAAATGGTTTAAAAATCAACCACGTTGTTCCAACAGGTTCTTATTCCTCCAATTACAGAGCAGAGGCAGATGCACTTCTAGCGGCATGTTCTTTCCTGAATGGACAACAGCACAGCAAATATAGCAGAATGGTCTTTCTGACTGATGCTATGTCAATTCTACAAGCAATTGTTAACTTAAAAGACACTCAGTTTGTAGACTTGACGCAACAGCTGATTTACTTAGGCTCTTCAGTAGAACAATCTGTACTGCAGTGGATTCCAGGTCACTGTGGCTTGGAAGGCAATGAAATAGCGGACAGATTGGCCAGAAGCGGCAGTGACATGGTACAACCAAATCGTGACTTAACCCACCAAGAGATGAAAACACTAATACAATCTAGTATCCAAGAAAGGCGGCTGGATACTCACACTAGATTTTCTCCCCAAGACTCACTTCATCGCCTCTCTAGAGAGGAACAGTGTATTATATTCAGACTAAGGACAGGGCACAACAGATTTCGTCAACATATGTTCAAATTTTTCGGTGTAGGAAATACGGAGACGTGTCCCTGCAGCGTGGCACCTGAAAATGCTGAGCATGTGCTCCAACACTGTCAACTGTATGCTGACAACAGAGACGCAATCTGGCCTGTTCCAACCACAATGAAGACAAAACTGTATGGTACACGAGAGGATAATGATTGCACGATAGCTTTCATAAAGGCTACCGGCCTCCTGATATAATTTTTCTGACAGAAGGATCGAAGAAGAAGAAGAAGACAACCACTTAGTAAGCTTTTGCTTGGAGAATTAGCAGACAAGCACAAAAAAGGCTCTTGAGGAGTGAGAGAGGTAGTTCTACAGAGGAATGCTGAAAACTTCTCGGACAGCCAAACTGATAAATATTCTTCTTCTTATTTGCCTTTGCTAGCTGTAAATTCTGGTGGAAAGTTCTGGTTGTACCTACCCTTCAGAACTTAAGTCTTGTCCCAGAACTGGATTTTACATACACATCAGTTCTACAGGTCTGGCTTATTTGAATGCAGACTGTTGGTTCTTTGCCTCACATGCTGATGCACTCTGACTTTGAAGGAAATACCCATGATTTGTTGGTTTTTACTCCCCGTGTAGATTCCAACAAAATAGACCCACTGCCTCCCCAACAAACATGTCATTGGAGTCGACTAATTGGGAGCTTCCTTCAAAGTTAGAGTGCATCTACCCGAGTGGCAAGGAACGACAAGCTGCACGCAAATAAGCCAGTAAAACAGATGTGCACGCAAAACTCAGATCCTGGCACAAAGCCAAAGTCCAAATGGACGAACAGACATGACTTTTCGCTGGAGCTAACAGAAGGTGAGCAAAGAAGAAGAAGAAGTCTTTTACAGCATGCTAGTTAAGTGAGGGCAGCAGGTCATTTCTTTTACCCCACACTGGGGCCCGTGAACCCGCACAGGGAAATTGAATCCCCATGTTTGGGTCTACCTTTAACCCACATGTTAGCTTATTTTGGCTATATTTGTCATGCTTTCTATATAACTTCACTTCATTTTGTGTGTGTGTGCTGTACTATAGTTAAACTCTTCTTAACAGTAGCCATGTTTGTCTCATATTTGTTTTTCATTTGAAATGTTTGGGGGCAGACATTCCTGGAACAGACAAAAACAAAGTTCAACAAGAATTATCAAGGCATGAACTTGGCAAAGATAACCTCCACTGTTGGACTTAATAGTAAGTCGTTATAATGTCTCTAATTGATTGAACACCATCTTACACTGAGTGGATTCACACCACATTAGTTAACTAGCTAGTGCCTTCCCTTGTTGGTTCCAGAGCTCCATTTTAGAAAACTTAAATAGGAGGCGACTAATTATGGATGTTTCCAAAGTCGGATGCCTTCTGCCTAAGAGCCAAGGAACCAACAGTCTGCATACAGTAAGTCAGATCTGTAAAACAGATGTGCATGCAGAACTCATGTTTTCAATCAGAACCAAAGTTTAGGTGTGGATGAACAACCAGAATTGTCTGCTGGAGTTTATAGCTGATGAACGTTAAAAAGAAGACTGACCTCCCATTCCCCCCTTTTTTTCCAACAAGCCTGTCAGAAAAGGGAACTTTTTAGGGGTTTGCTGGTCAGATGTTTAGGACTAAAATGCATATATATTGCAGCCTAGCTGTAAAGCACAACATGTGCCAACCACCCTTTTAAGGTTACATGGCCAAACCATTTGATTCTTTGTCTACTGATAAAGTTCAAAACTAGCTGAATCTCCTTCTGATATCATCACTCCTAAGTCAATCTTTTCTTATTATACCTAGCATGATACGTAAACATTTCATTTTTATCGTGACTGTTTGATTACACATGATTAACCACTCCATTTATAACCTGTAAACGGTTATATAAGTTTAATGCTAAGGAAACAGAAGCAATTATCTAAGTTATTCTGCTCCACACAGCAGCACATATAAAACATTACAGATGGCAACCCAGAGGAGAATAGCAGTTGATATTATTTGTTCTTTACCTCTCCAGTTGGGAAAATTGATGTAGGCTCCTCCAGACTGAACTTCTGGGATCTGGGAGGTCAAGAGGAGTTGCAGTCCCTATGGGATAAGGTAGTTACTGGTTACTGTATTTAGGTTATATTTTAGTTTAGTTAGTTAGCTACTTAGTTAATCAACTGATTATTCTCATTGCACATCGAATCATTCAGTCCATAGGTGCTTGGATCCCCTCCTCAGTAAATCCCACAGTCTGTAGCAGCTCACGACCCCAGTTCTGTGTTGGTTTCTTATTCTTCTTTGGCTTCCTGCACAATGCTCTTGTCCGGCCACAGTGCTCTTGTCCGGCCACAGTGCTCTTGTCTGGCCACAGTGCTCTTGTCCGGCCACAGTGCTCTTGTCCTGCCACAGTGCTCTTGTCTGGCCACAGTGCTCTTGTCTGGCCACAGTGCTCTTGTCTGGCCACAGTGCTCTTGTCTGGCCACAGTGCTCTTGTCTGGCCACAGTGCTCTTGTCTGGCCACAGTGCTCTTGTCTGGCCACAGTGCTCTTGCCTGGCCACAGTGCTCTTGTCCTGCCACACACCCTTTAACATGTTGTCCTTGCTACTGCCTACATGTGTCACAATATAAAACATTAAATGTTGTTATTACAGAGTTTCTTACCAAATGCCTCCTTTGACTCCTCCACCCGCGGTTCACAACACCAGTTCTCTGTTGATTTCTTATTCTTCTTTGGCTTCCTGCATATTGCTCTTATCTGGACACACCCCTTTTAACATGTTGTCCTTGTAGTTTTCATAGTAATCACTTGGTTCTCGCAAACATCTTACTTCTCCTAGAGCATTCTGAATATCTGCCTGGTTCATGGCTCGTCCACCCTCCATAGTAGCTTTACCTGCAAGCCTATCAGCTTGCTCATTTCCTTGCACACATGTGTGCCCAGGCACACACAAATGAAACTGATACGGTTATGATGTAATGACACTAGTCTATGAGAATGCTAGTCACACAATCATCTGATACTATAGATTTCTGACATTCTTCTGCCTTCTGGAACAAGACTAAAGTTTAGAAGTGGATGAACAACGAGAACTCTCTGCCAAAGTTTACAGCCGGTGAATGCGATGATGAAGAAAAAGCTACAATCTTTCTAGAGATAGCAGATGTTTCCTCGGGTGTCGTAAGACAATTTATCACAACTTGAGAAAGAGACAGATTTTCAGATTTTGGTTATCTTATGAGAAGAAGGAAACTGGTCACATATTGTGACCACTGGAATGATCTGTGGAAAGAGAGAAAGAGGAAGACAGCACAAGAAGTTTCTTGACAGCCTTTTGTCATGGCATCTAGGGATGTCAACACACGAACTGATACACGCAGTTGCAGATCGCAGATTGTGGAGAGGCATGCTCGCTCATGCCAGTCGGCAAGGCACTTGAGGATGATGATGTTAATTTGAAAGGAAAGGTAGTACTAGTATGTTTGGAAAAAACATGCAGCAGAATGGAGTCACACAGTTAACAGTATATAGTCACTTAGCATCTTGCCTCTTGTTTGTTTCAGTACTATGTGGAATCTCATGCTGTCATATACATTGTGGACTCATCAGATAGGGAGCGGGTTGAGGAGTCCAAGGAGGCATTTGGTAAGAAAGTCTGTAATAGCAACACTTAATGTTTTATATTGTGACACATAGACAATAGCAGTCATTAGAGGAGACTAGAGTAAGTTTACATAGAGGCAAGCTACCGTTAAAGGAGACTAGAGTAAGTTTACATATAGGCAAGCTACCGTTAGAGGAGACTAGAGTAAGTTTACATATAGGCAAGCTACCGTTAGAGGAGACTAGAGTAAGTTTACATATAGGCAAGCTACCGTTAGAGGAGACTAGAGTAAGTTTACATATAGGCAAGCTACCGTTAGAGGAGACTAGAGTAAGTTTACATATAGGCAAGCTACCGTTAGAGGAGACTAGAGTAAGTTTACATATAGGCAAGCTACCGTTAGAGGAGACTAGAGTAAGTTTACATATAGGCAAGCTACCGTTAGAGGAGACTAGAGTAAGTTTACATAGAGGCAAGCTACCGTTAGAGGAGACTAGAGTAAGTTTACATAGAGGCAAGCTACCGTTAGAGGAGACTAGAGTAAGTTTACATAGGAGGCAGCTACCGTTAGAGGAGACTAGAGTAAGTTTACACATATAGGCAAGCTACCGTTAGAGGAGACTAGAGTAAGTTTACATATAGGCAAGCTACCGTTAGAGGAGACTAGAGTAAGTTTACATATAGGCAAGCTACCGTTAGAGGAGACTAGAGTAAGTTTACATATAGGCAAGCTACCGTTAGAGGAGACTAGAGTAAGTTTACACATATAGGCAAGCTACCGTTAGAGGAGACTAGAGTAAGTTTACATATAGGCAAGCTACCGTTAGAGGAGACTAGAGTAAGTTTACATATAGGCAAGCTACCGTTAGAGGAGACTAGAGTAAGTTTACATATAGGCAAGCTACCGTTAGAGGAGACTAGAGTAAGTTTACATATAGGCAAGCTACCGTTAGAGGAGACTAGAGTAAGTTTACATATAGGCAAGCTACCGTTAGAGGAGACTAGAGTAAGTTTACATATAGGCAAGCTACCGTTAGAGGAGAGGAGACTAGAGTAAGTTTACATAGAGTAGGCAAGCTACCGTAAGTTTACATAGGAGACTTTACAGAGTAAGTTTACATATAGGCAAGCTACCGTTAGAGGAGACTAGAGTAAGTTTACATATAGGCAAGCTACCGTTAGAGGAGAGGAGTAAGTTTTACATATAGAGTAAGTTTACATAGAGGCAAGCTACAAGCTACCGTAGAGGAGACTAGAGTAAGTTTACATATAGGCAAGCTACCGTTAGAGGAGAAGCTTACACTTAGAGGAGACTAGAGTAAGTTTACATATAGGCAAGCTACCGTTAGAGGAGACTAGAGTAAGTTTACATATAGGCAAGCTACCGTTAGAGGAGACTAGAGTAAGTTTACATATAGGCAAGCTACCGTTAGAGGAGACTAGAGTAAGTTTACATATAGGCAAGCTACCGTTAGCAAGCTACCGTTAGAGGAGACTAGAGTAAGTTTACATATAGGCAAGCTACCGTTAGAGGAGACTAGAGTAATAGTTTACATATAGGCAAGCTACATATAGGCAAGCTACCGTTAGAGGAGACTAGAGTAAGTTTACATATAGGCAAGCTACCGTTAGAGGAGACTAGAGTAAGTTTACATATAGGCAAGCTACCGTTAGAGGAGACTAGAGTAAGTTCACATATAGGCAAGCTACCGTTAGAGGAGACTAGAGTAAGTTTACATATAGGCAAGCTACCGTTAGAGGAGACTAGAGTAAGTTTACATATAGGCAAGCTACCGTTAGAGGAGAAGAGTAAGTTTACATATAGGCAAGCTACCGTTGAGGAGACTAGAGTAAGTTTACATATAGGCAAGCTACATATTAGAGGAGACTAGAGTAAGTTTACATATAGGCAAGCTACCGTATAGAGGAGATCACATAGTACAATTATACAATAAGAGGCAACACTTTGCGTTATATATCGAGACTAGAGTAAGTTTACATATAGGCAAGCTACCGTTAGAGGAGACTAGAGTAAGTTTACTATCCAGGCAAGCTACCGTTAGACAGACTAAGTAAGTTTACATATAGGCAAGCTACCGTTAGAGGAGACTAGAGTAAGTTTCCGGCTGTTACCGTGATTTTACTAGGTATATACATTCAGTAGGTTAAGTTTACATAGAGTAAGCTTTACATAGAGTAAGTTTTACAGTGCAAGCTACCGTTACCGTTAGAGAGACTAGAGTAAGTTTACATATAGGCAAGCTACCGTTAGAGGAGACTAGAGTAAGTTTACATATAGGCAAGCTACCGTTAGAGGAGACTAGATGTAAGTGTGCATATAAAAACCATGCAACAGCCAGGGGCTGTTGGGGTTGGTTCTGCAACGTCCTGTAAAGGATACCGAACTAACCAGGTTGCCATTGCTTCCTAACTGTCGACTCTTAATAGCATTGTCAAAATCAGGGTAAAGCAATCTGCTGCCAGATTGTCTGCAGTAGGAATTGAACCAGGTACCTTAAAATTACAAAGCACATTGCAGTACCTAAACCACAAGGTGGTATACTTGTAAGTAAACAGCTTATGGTAATTAATTGTTCACAGAGAAAGTTGTCATGAACGACAACCTGGTGGGTGTTCCTCTCATGCTGCTGGCCAACAAACAAGATCTAGAGGTGAGTAGATGAACAAGATGGTTGTCTGTCAGTGAGTTCCAAGAAATTGGTCTTGGCCCTTTAGAAGCAAGTTCCCTGTGTGGGTTCTGGGGCCCCATTGTGAGGAAGATAAGAATAGACCCACTGCCTCCCTAACAAGCATCTCGTAAGAGTTGGCTGATTGGGAGGTTCATTCGAAGTCGGATTGTATCTGCCCAAACGGCAAGAAACAACCAACTGCACACAAATAAGCCAGTAAAACGGATGTGCACTCAGGCCCTGGCACAGAGCCAAAATACAAACTGACGATTAAAGAGAACTTTCCGCTGGAGCTTACAGCCGGTGAACAAAGAAGAAGAAGAAGAGGAAGCAAGTGAACAACACAGAGGTACAAATCGATCATTATGGTCTGGAGAGAATGGTTCGACTGTGAATGACCTGAGGAAAGGCAAGACACACATATAATGAAACTGTTACTTGCACCATCAGACTTGAACACTGGCTGCTGAAGATGATGATGGTGCGCTTATGGGAATGTTCTGATTGCTGTAATGTCAGTTTTAAACTTTACACTCAAGTCTGACCCTGATAATTACTTGCCTGATTGTTTTGTATGAACACCTGTCTGATTTTATCTGGCAAGGGGAGTAAGTTGACAAAGATGGTTGTCTATCAGTAAGTGTTGTCTGTCAGTGAGTGTTGTCTATCAGTGAATGTTGTCTATCAATGAGTGTTGTCTATCAGTGAATGTTGTCTATCAATGAGTGTTGTCTGTCAGTGAGTGTTGTCTATCAGTGAATGTTGTCTGTCAGTGAGTGTTGTCTATCAGTGAGTGTTGTCTATCAGTAAGTGTTGTCTATCAGTGAGTGTTGTCTATCAGTGAGTGTTGTCTATCAGTAAGTGTTGTCTGTCAGTGAGTGTTGTCTGTCAGTGAGTGTTGTCTGTCAGTGAGTGTTGTCTATCAGTGAGTGTTGTCTATCAGTGAGTGATGTCTATCAGTGAGTGTTGTCTGTCAGTGAGTGTTGTCTGTCAGTGAGTGTTGTCTATCAGTGAGTGTTGTCTATCAGTGAGTGTTGTCTATCAGTGAGTGATGTCTATCAGTGAGTGTTGTCTATCAGTGAGTTTTGTTTATCAGTGAGTTTTGTCTATTAGTAAGTTATTCTTCTTCTTCTTCCTGTTCACCGGCTTTAAAATCCTGGGCAGAGAATTCTGGTTGTTCATCCATCTGTGGACTTTGGTCTTATTCCAGATTTTAAGTTTTGCGTGCACATTCGTTTTATGAATCTGGCTTATTTCTATGCAGACTCAGTTTCTTGCCTCCCAGGCAGGTGCACTCCGACTTCGAAGGAAATAATGAGTCTGATTACTTGCCAGATTATTTTGTTTGATTACCTGTTTGAGTATGTTGAGTAGATTTACAAAGATGTTGTATATACACGTTTATAAACAATGGCTAGAATGTTTGCCTGCCAGCAAGGTTCGAATCCTAGGTTGATCCAGGGCTGTCTTTGGAAATAAAGGGAGCAAGTGTTGTTATGATCACATGACTTTCAAATTCTGACTGGTCCGTACATATATGGGCTTTGCGGCATATGCTTAAAAGCTTGGACCTAGGATCTTTGTGCATAGAAGAAACCAAAGTATCTTTTAGTTCTTAGGGCCCCAAACAATAGAAATGAGATATCTACAGTGAATCCTAAATGTAACTAGAAGATAAAGAATCATAAATGACAATATCAGGAAAGAAGTTGGGACGGAACAAATGCTAAACTGCATTTTAAGAGACAACAAATCAAATGATTTAGACATACCGAGGCTCGCTTGCTTGTTGTACCCCACCAGGACATCGCACAACCGATAAACACCCGGTGACACAAAGTGCCACCATGCGGATGAGGATCAGAAAGAGAGGTCCCAGAAACCTCTTTCAGTCGTCATGGCCACATTTATGTATTAGCTATATTCAGGGCCCCTGGCAAAAGCCAGGGTGGGGTTTCAAATAACGGAAAATTGCATCCCACAAGGGGACGACTTTATGTATTAAGTAAAGTAAGTAAAGGACCCTTTTCCACGCCTTTAGACGTATAGGGCATATAGGGCTAGACCTATATTTTTATAGACTGATTGCCACAAGATGGGTGATGTGGTCAGCATTACGCCGGCCGCCTTTACTTTCCTGGACTGCACCCGGTACCCACTCAAGGCTGGGTCGACCTGGGAGCCAAGGTCATTTTTTAACAAAGTCCGGCTCCGCCAGGGAGCAAACCCCTGACCTTTCAATCCGCGGCAAGCGTATAGTCACTCGGCCACGGTGACTTCTGACTTTATTAACGAATGCTAACCGAGCCTGGCCCCTGGTGCCTCTTCAAAACCTGATGCTGAAAGACAGGGCTACAGAAGAAGAAGGGCCCTAACAGGGACTTAATCTGACCCTGTTTGCATTGTATTCACATGTTTGTTCATTCTAGATTCCCCATATGAGTTCTAGGGCCCCATTTTGTAGGTGGGGGGAAGGGAAGCCTGAATAGATCTAATGCCTGCCCAAAAGCATGTCGTAAGAGTCGAATAATTAGGAGCTTATTTAGAAGTCGGAGTACGTCTGCCAGAAAGGCATGGAACTAGCAGTCTGCATGCAAATGAGTCAGACCTGTAAAACGGATGTGCACGCAACACTCAGCTTCTGGAACCCGTCTAGAGTCCAGAAGTGGACAAACAACCAGACATTTCTGCTGGAGTTTACAGCCGGTGAACTATTCAAGAAGAAGTTCATACTAGATAATATAAGAAGTGGCTACAGTTAGAGATAACAAGTGTCTGTTGTGAATGTCTCAGGGCTGTCTCAAAGTGACCGAAGTGAAGACGATATTCAATGATCCTCTACAGACAATGGGCCAGCGAGAATCTTGGGTGCAGGGTGTTTCAGCCCTACGGGGGTAAGGTTTAGTTTATTAAACAGATTGTTAGTACTGTGTACTCTTTGGTAGTGCTAAGTCTTTGTTTGTCACAGTCAAATTAGTAACTATAGCTTCATTGTGCCTGCAGAAGCGGGTATGATGTTTTTACTGATGTGACGAAATAGTTACAGTGTGAAGAAACAGTTAGTGGAGTTTTTGTAAACTGGCAGTTCTGTTAACTCTTTGAGTCCCGAGAAACGCATCATACGTTCATAGGTTCCTAACTAGAAGCCCATTGAACGCAGGATGCGCCGATTTTATGACTCTCTTTACTACCCCCTTGGCCTGTGATGCCAAACCCCCTGGGACTCAAAAAGTTAAACTCAAGGAAAAGCTATTCACATTCATTCATCCCCGTGTGGGTTCCGGGGCCCCATCGTGGGGAAAACAAGAATAGACCCTCTGTCTACCCAAAAGCATGTCGTAAGAGTCGACTAATTGGGGAGCTTCCTTTGAAGTCGGAGTGCATCTGCCTGAGAGGCAAGGAACCAACAGTCTGGTTCAAGTGAATCAGATCTGTAAAACTGATGCACACGCAACACTCAGGTTCTGGAGCAGGACTGCAGTTCAGAAGAGGACGTACAACCAGAACTTTCCACCAGAGTGTACAGCTGGTGAACGCGAAGAAGAAGAAGAAGACATTCATTCATTATCCTGCTGTGCCATTGTATGTCACATAAGGCTCGCAGTCGGTTTCTCCATTCCATTCTGTTCTGTGCAATCACTTCAGTATTATGGATAGGAATCCATTCCAGCAGCTTTGGCTTCTTTCATCAGTGTTCACCTTGGGGTTTCTCTTAGAGGTCCCCGATTCCTCTGTCTATTTCCCATTTCACTGCCTGTTTGGTGATTCTCTGTTCATCTCTGACAGAATGTGTCTAACATAACACCATCTTCTCTGTCTTATAACTGTTGATAACAGTGGTTGCCCAGACATTTCTCTTATCTCTTCACTCCTCTTGAATTCATCCCATAACATGTTCATCAAGTTCCTCGGGCAGTTGTGTTAAGTTGTGTTAAGTTGTGTTAAGAGGAGAAAGAATATTCTTTGCAACATTATGTTTGTCTGGAGCTCCCATGGTCTACCTATCGGTCTTTAAAAAAAAAATGACTTTGGCTTCCAGGTCGACCCCAGCCTTGAGTGGGTACCGGGTACAGTCCTGGGAAGTAAAGTCGGCTGACCACATCACCCACCAAGAGCCATTGGTCTATAAAATTCAGGTCTAGCCCTATATACCCGATACGCCTGGAAAGTGTCATTTACTTTTATTATGTTTGTCTGTTGAGGTGAGAAAGACCTGTGTCTTTACCATGTAGCAGGACTGGTAGATCCTAGGATTTAGACCTGCATGATTAGTAGTGTAGTCGCCACACGCTGTGCAGGTTGGGATTTTATTTTCATGTCCCACAGTGAAAATCCATCGCCTTACCACGGATTTGAACCTGGGTCTGATTGATGAGAGTCCAACGTTCTTAACCAATAGACCAGCCACAAGAAGGGTCTTGTGTGTGAGATACAGAGCCAGATTTGATGTGCGGAAGAGAATTATGGACAGTATGTAGATTAGTGAAAACTGCAGAAGTGTGGTTGTATAGAACAGTTTTGAGTAGATCAGGGACAAATACAAAATATGTTTTAAAAAACCCAAAACAATAATAATAGAATAACAAAGAGGGCTGGTTGTTGTTCGTCTACCCTTTAGCTCCTAGTGAAGTATAGGCACTCAGCTAGTTTACCCTATGTCCTACCTATCTAGCCTGAAAGTGTTTTTTTAATTATAACTGAAGTTATTTTATCATAACTAAAGTTATTTAATCGCAGCTTGAAGTGTTCATTTCATCACAACTTGGTGTCATTTTATCATAACTAAAGTTATTTAATCGCAGCTTGAAGTGTTCGTTTCATCACAACTTGAAGTGTCATTTTATCATAACTAAAGTTATTTAATCACAGCTTGAAGTGTTCGTTTCATCACAACTTGAAGTGTCATTTTATCATAACTTAAGTTATTTTATCACAGCTAGAAGAGTGCATTTCATCCCAGTTTGAAGTTGTCATTTTAGCATAACTGAAGTTATTTTATCACAAGACGTCAAACAGGGAAGAGAAAGGCACGCAGGCCAACAGCAAAGAAACAGACAAGTGGATCCAGGAAAGAAGGGGTTGTAGCATACAATCCAGCAGGAAACTGAACAACATGAGAAAGCCAAGAGACAGTGAGAAAATCCCAATGGACATAGAAGAGAAGTAAAGGTCCCTTTACAATGTTGCAGTGGGCAAATGGGGCTAGACACATATTTTTATAGACTGTTGGCGGTAGAAGAGAAGAATGAATGAGAATTTGAAGAGGCAGAAGAGCTCAGACAGCTTCAGGATTCTGAGGAAAATGTAAAAGAAAGAAAAAAGAGATTCAAAGATGCAGTGACTGAAATAGAACCCTCTGATGGAAGACAAACCAGAACAGACACATCCAACTGCTCATCACCAGAAGACGCCTAGGAATACCAATAAACGGGAAACCAAACAAAGACCCAAAGGATGAAAGCGAGGGTGCCACAGTCCGCAGAACTAATCCTTGTCAGTTTTGAGCAGAAGACCTTCAGGAAAAGCAGTAGTGGCTGGGCCTGTTTCAGGGCTAGATCTCAAGACCACAACTCCTAGACACGAGACGGAAAAGATTACAGTCAAATCGCTGAATTTCATGCACAAGCAACGAGGAGGAAATTTTGTTGAACACCCTAAATTAAAACCTTGTCCCCCGTGTGGGTTCCGGGGCCCCATTGTAGGGGAAAACAAGAATAGACCCACTGCCTACCCAAAAGCATGTCGTAAGAGTCGACTAATTGGGGAGCTTCCTTTGAAGTCGGAGTGCATCTGCCGGAGAGGCAAGGAACCAACAGTCTGGTTCAAGTGAATCAGATCTGTAAAACTGATGCACACGCAACACTCAGGTTCTGGAGCAGGACTGCAGTTCAGTAGTGGACGAACAACCAGAACTTTCCGCCAGAGTGTATAGCTGGTGAACGTGAAGAAGAAGAAGAAGAAAACCTTTTCATTTTAGCTAAAAAAAAAATTTTGAAAAGAGGGGTGACTGCAGTCAAGCTAATACAAAACGGTTGATCCAGTGAACTGTGACTTAAAATCTTAACGAAATGGGGAAGCAGAAAAACGTACACAAAACAACCCAGATCGACACGAGATGGAAAAGATTACAGTCAAATCGCTGAATTTCATGCACAAGCAATGAGGAGGAAACTTTGTTGAACACCCTAAATTAAAACTTTGTCATTTTAGCTTAAAAAAAATTGTGAAAAAAGGGGTGACTGTCAAGCTAATACAAAACAGTTGATCCAGTGAACTGTGACTTCAAAGCTTAACGAAATGGGGAAGTAGAAAAACGTACACAAAACAATCCAGATCGGCATTTAAGTTTGTGTTGAGAAAGGCCCCCGGTTCAGCTTTTAGTCAGAGCTTATTGGATTAATTAATTTTAGCTAAACAGGGTCAAACGATAACAAATTTTAAAAAATAGCGCTTGAAGTTTTCATTTCAAATTCTGAAGTTGCCATTCTGTTATACCCAGGAGGGTTCGTTATATCACACTATGAAGATGTATAACAACCAGACATTGTCTTGTACTCGTGCATTTCCAGGGACGGCGTTCAAGAAGGCATCGACTGGCTAGTGGAAGCCATCAAGAGAAACAGTTCCGCACGGCCCCCACAACAAAAAGAGATCACATGACCTGAAACAGCTAGTCAATAAACTCGTCGTGACATGTTTCACAGTTGTTGAGAAGACATTCGGGTTTTCCTTTCAGGCTACATTCATACAATAAAAGACACCGTCTCACTGAAGCAGGCAGGGGGATAATGGATAATGCTCACAAGTTTGATTTTTGTACACTTTCAAAGAATATTCTAGTTAATTTAGGATATTGTCACAAGCAGTGGCTATTTATGTATAGGGAGCCTACAGGCATGTTTGTGGTAAAGAGTTTCATGAAAGGACAGGTACATACATATTTGTGGTAGCGTTTTATTTTTTTTAATGTTTTTTTTTAAATGTTTAAATGAAAAGGATAGGTACAGACATGTTTGTGGCAGATAGTAAGTTTTTTAGGGGGGGGGGGGGGTGTTGAATAAAAGGAGGTGTACAGATGATTTGCAGATATTTTTTTTTTTTTTTAATGATCTGTCTTTTTTTTTTTTGATTAAAGGAGAGCTACAAACATATTTATGACAGAAAATTTGGTTTTAAAATGAAAGGAAAGGTAGACATGTTTGTGGCAAATAGGTTTTTAAAATTATTTTGTTTTACAAAGCCATTTTTTAAAATTGCAAAAAAAAAAAAAAAAAAAAACCCTTGTCCACGCATACAGGTGTATTAGGCATATCGGGCTAGACCTAATCTGTTAAAACTGGGGGTTGTCTAATACATGGAATGTGATGAAAATATTTATTTCTTTATTTTGGGCTTAAAAAAATAGGGGTGTGATAAAAATATCCACACCCCCCCCCCCAATTTTTGAATTTGAACCAAAAAGAAACCAGTCGTCTCCTTAAACACAGAAGAATGAAGTATAAATATCAGGTGGGCACATAGTGACCATACCAGATATTGTTGCTTGTTTTAGATCAATTCTGATAATTGTTTTACTTGGTTAGGGTTAGGTAAAATCATGGCTTTGGGTGGTACACAGTACTGGCACCTTTTTTAGGCATCATATTTTCAGTGCGACTGCTATGTGGCGAGTACTGGCACATTATTTAGACACTTTATGGTGAGTACAGTTACCTTTTAAATTACTAAAACCCCCCCAGTTAAAATAAGACTGATAATCTTCAGAAGTGTTACCATCAGAACTGGAGCTCTGTGCTTGCTGCTAAAGATGGGGATGGAGGGCTTGTGGGAATGTCCCTAGCACTGTGATTTCAGATTGTAAATCATAGCTTTTTATGAGGAGGAAAGAAGGGGTTATTTCAAGCTTGATTGTGACAGTAGTAGTGTTTTATTGTGCTGCTAATGTATTTATTTTTCCTCAAGAGTCCCAAGTGTTTCATTTAATGATAATAACAATAACATACAGCAGCTGAGGTCAGTATCAGCATGGCCTAGTGTTGGAGTGAACACAGGACGGACAAGCATGGACTTTTTACAGAAAAGTATGGTTTTAGCTGGATGTCTGACTGTACATGTGGGTGGTTATCTCTGTGAGACAGGCTGGCCTTTAAGTAAAGTTAATATCCCCCTTTCACACCTTTAGGCAAATGGGAAGAGCGCCCATATTTTTACAGACCATCGGCTCTAGGTGGGTAATGTGGTCAGCATTACGCGACCATCTTTACTTTCCCAGGACATCCATCCTGGTACCCATTTTAGGCTGGGTCGACCTGCAACGCCCCATACCATGATAAAAATCCACGCAGCAGGCTGGCCTCTGGCAGTAAGATAATGGAGAGTAATGAACTCATGAAGAAAAACTGTCTTTAATTTGTAAATGTGCACCTTTTTCTTTTTTTAAATTAAGCATTTCTTAAATGTAAATGTTGATTTTGTTTTTTTCTTTCCCTCCTGTAAATATGAAGAATGTCTGAATTATTGAACCTTTTGAGTGATGAATAAATGGAAGTAGCATTGACAGTTTTGAGGGCTGAATGAATGTGGGTGCTGTTGAACAGTATGAATGCTGAATGAATGTGGGTGCTGTTGAACAGTATGAATGCTGAATGAATGTGGGTGCTGTTGAATGATCTGAGTGAATGAATTGAAATATTCAACATTCTCAGTTTAGGAATCATGATATGCTGAAAAGAAATTGTTTTTGACCCACTTATTTTGTAAAATGTCTACCTTTCAGCAAATGATAAATAGCATTTTTATCCCTACTTTATGCTATCAGTGCCAAACATGAACAATAAATAGGGCACTAGAGCAGAAAATAACTACCTCTCCGTGAGGTCACTAACAACACAAAAGTAGACAGGGTTACAAATACCAGTAAGTAAAAGTTGAAATAAACCATCGTGAATTACATTGGCCGACAAATCCTGAAATGGTTCGGCCATTTAGTGAGAATGCAGCCAGACCAAACTGCATATGAGACTTTACAACAGAACAGCTGGGAAGAAGGCGAGGGGAAGACCAAGAAAGAGATGGATAAATGATGTAGCCATCTCCCAAGCCTCCCGAGAGCCGCAAGACAAACACAGAAAACCAGGCACTAGGCTACAACCTGGCATCAGTGACCAGCAGAAAACCAGGCACTAGGCTACAACCTGGCATCAGTGACCAGCAGAAAACCAGGCACTAGGCTACAGTGTCCAGCAGAAAACCAGGCACTAGGCTACAACCTGGCATCAGTGACCAGCAGAAAACCAGGCACTAGGCATCAGTGTCCAGCAGAAAACCAGGCACTAGGCTACAACCTGGCATCAGTGACCAGACAAAAGGAAAAAAAAGATATTGGAAATGTTATAAAATATTGGAAGAAATATTGCCAATAATGTGCTTTGAACACATACATGTAGTACCTACTAACATAAACTTTATAAATGGGAAGGATAGAGGACTTTGGTGGCAGTGAATCCACATCACTCGCCAGAATGGCAGACTTGGGAATTAAGATCGGCACAGCAAAAAACGAGACGCACACCAGACACGCCAGAAGACTTGTTAATCAACATAGAACTGGTACTATTAGCCATCGGACGTTGGGATTCATACTGAGGGGAGGATCTGAGCACCTATGGACATGTCCGGAGTGCAATGAGGATAACCCAACTAACTAACTAACTAATAAACTATCTATGATATATTGCTGCTGTTATGAACAGAATACTGAATAAGACATCTGAATAAATGAGAGTAACAAATACTCTCTAAGTTGTCACGATGATATTTAAAATACCCTGTTGACATTGTTTATTGAATGATACAATTCTTTAATTGAAACAGTTGCATTTATTTAACAAGTGCTGAGGGCAATATAATGAGGATTTTGTGTACATTTATTGTTTTGTTTGTTGTCAGATTCATTGAAGGTAAGTGTTTGTCTTCTTCAGTCTGCCAAACCCATGAGCTTCCCTCCTCCATTCGTCTCTGTGTGACTGGCCTTCTCTTTCTAGTTGGTGACTTCAGATGTTTGAAGTCGAGGCCTAGATATCTGTTCCAGTGGTGAGGTGTGATCCATTTGCTGGTGTAAGCGTTAGCAGGTTACACTTGAGAGGGTTATCATGTGTTGCTTCGCTGTTGAGAGTATTTGCGCGCAGCTGGTATTTTAGTACTAGTTAATGGTAGCTTTCACTTAAAAGAGTTTTTGCATGAGTAATGCAAGCATTTTTTTCTTCTTGCTATGTTAATGCTCTTAACAAGCTGTACATGCTCAGCGAGAAGAAAACCGAGTGGTGTATTTGTAAAAATAGTGAACAATAATAATTAGTACAAAGCCACCACCTGAGAAGCTCAAGACAAATGCAGACAATCATGACACTTGGCTATAACCTGGTATCAGTGAGACAGAAGCATAAATGGTAAAAATTGTAATGCATTTTCTTTTGCAATGGCAAGTGTAAGCGGCAGTTGCTGTTGTCACATACACGCATCACCACTGATCTGTTTCATGAGGAAACAAGGTTTTACAATGATAAAGTTGTTAGCCCGCCATGCTTCAACCCCCAGCCTGGAGGATCAGGGTCTCTCTCTCTCTCTCTCCTTGTCTGATCTCTATTCTTTGACCTGTTTGGCTTGGGTGGTCGCAGACTCTGCTACCACCAGCACAGCTCTCAGGGTCACTGAGAAGTGCAGTGCTCCCCGACCGCTACAAGGTGAAGACATCTTCGAGGTATTCTCGACAACATATTACAGCCTTAAAAAAAATGGTACTCATGGTCTTGGGTTATGAGTCATCATCATGTAGGTGGTCATGTTTCAACATCTCTCAGATCAAGTCTGTGCTGCCGTCTCCCCCCGTCTCCTCCCTACAATTCACATGTGGAATGACCTTCGTCCGCATCTTGAAGAAGGCAGTTTGCCATAGCTGTCCCTTTTTGCAGCGATCAAATTGTGACCAATGTCTCCCAATAGTGTGATCCATTGCCTGCCAGCATGGAATCTGAGATATGGATGGCATCTTGTGAAAGCAGTTTCATAATTCTGGCATTACCAGGTTTGGGAGTCAGCTGCAGGCTGTTTGGCAGCAGGCAGCTTTGCATCGATTTTAATTCAAGAAGCAATGGTAAACTTAGTTGTATATCTTTTACAGGATGTGTGCAGAACCAACCCCAGATTTGTTGGCTGTTTTAGTTTTTTTGGGGCAAATTTTACGTCCAGTAGTTTGCCATTGCTTTCTTAACAGTCAGCTGTCGGTACCAATGTCAGAACCAATGCAAGACAAACTGTCCGCAGCTGGAATCGAACCTGGTACTCTGGCATTACTAAGTAAGTTCACAGCACCTGAGCCACAGACATCGACAGTGGTAAACTACTGAATGTAAAAACAGCCTGGCAAAATTGTAACTGCCAACAAATGCAGGTGGTTGGTTTACTACGTCCTGTAAAGGATATTCTACTAACAACTCGTAACCAAACGGGTGGGATTTGGGGGAGACAACAGATTTTCCGCTCACATGATTTGCACAAGAAAGTTCCTATGTGGGTTCTAGAGCCCCATTGGGAAAAACAGGGATAGATCCACTGCCCAGTTAATAAGCATGTCACACGAGTTGACTAACTGGGCGCTTTCC